CACACACACACACACACACACACACACACACACACACACACACACACTGTGTGTGTGTGTGTATATATAGAGAGAGAGAGAGAGAGTAAATGAATAAGTATGTGGAATATTTCTTGTTTTTCATGTTTCTAGGTTCCACTCATGTCTCCTCACCTCCTTGCTTCATCATCATCTTTCTGGCTAATGCTGTGTTTCCTGCTCAGTGTCTTCCTGCTGCTGTCCTCAGGGGTCCATGGCCAAGGTAGACTCATTTAAATAACCGAATGTATAACCTTTTGATTACTACTAATAGGAGAGTATGTCTCGTACACAGCTAAAGGTGATGGTGGGGTCTAGATAAACATCTGTGTTGTGTTGTTGTAGTTAATGCTAGCCTTGGGGTGGTCGATATCTTTTAGTTACCAGCTACATTTGGCAAATCATTATCTTTGCTAAAACAGTAGTACCATAAAGCGCCTGCTATTTTGGTCATCTATGGTGTAGACCTACTATATACCACTATTATTATTACAGAAAGTAGCCATAGCCTTCTTTTTCTGCAAGTCAAGGAGACTGACTGCTGGGGATGCTAGCTAGTTAACGTTAGCTTACGTTAGCGGTGCCACAAAAATATAAATTATTTTACCATAACCAGTAACATTAGCAAATGTAACATCATACAATCTCGCAAAATGTATGGTAATGTAGCATTACAATTAGCTTCATTTAGTACCTTACTTTATTCTGTTTGGAAGGAGACACAATGCTGGCAATGCTAGCTTGTTAGCTGCCTGTATCTTATAAGACAATGTAAATTACTATAACCAGTATCGTTAGCATAGATAATGTCGTCTCACACAAGTCAATCATTTAATGTATTGTAATACAAGCATCCACAGTTGCTATGGTGTATCTTCCCCTCAATAGTTTATACATGTTCACATGTCTACAGTAGGTCATCATGCTAGAGTTACTTGTAGTTTGCCTTAAAGCAGATCAGCATATTTCAGCATGTTTCAGTAGCTGCTAGGACAATATATTATCTCTGTGACTGTCACATCCTCTTGAGCGCCATTACTCATGGGCCGCTTCGCTTTAGAAAGACGGTTTTTGGCCTCTAAGTTCATGTCAAACTTCCTCTTTGTCACAGTACAGCTCTGCTCCAACGACGCCTTGTTTGCAGCTGTGCTGTTCATATTTTTAATTGTTTCTGTATGACCATACTGACAGTTTTTGTCTGCTGGTAGAGTTGTACTTTTTACTCGCTCATGACTTCTTTGTGAAAGACACTCGCCCACATAAAAAGCAAAACAGGCGATTTGAAGTCAATTATGCTTATGATCAGACGAGCAATTATCGACAACTTTGTGCAGCACTTGAGCAAACCTCACAGACGACAGTACGAGAGATTTAATGAAAGATTACAAAAATGGAGGCCCAATGTTCAAAGCCTTACTGTAAAGAGCTCATTCAGATATTCACAAACTACTGACACAATCACTGATACACAAGCTATACACTTGGAAACTGAAACGTATTTCATTATTGTGAAGATGTGATATTTGTAATGTAATCAATGAATTGATTAGTTAATATGCTTAATACCTAATGTGCTAATTTCCATACATCACAGTGCTTTGCAATCATTTTGACTGGCTTTTTAGAATTTGCGTTTTCTATATGCTATTTCTATTTATTTACTGGTTACTTTATACTACATTTTGTAAAAAGAAACACTTGGCTAGACTCAAAGAGCTCATTATTTTAGTACTGAACTAAAGAACGATGGCCACAACCAGCTGCTCTCGTCCTACTCACCAGTGAGTACAAAACAGCCACTCTATTCGTCTGCATATCTGCCCGCCTGTGTGGAAAGGTTGTTGTTGTTGTTAGTGGGTCTGTAAGACCTTGACCTCAGTCTCTCTAAATCCCCGTCAGACCCTATCTGATCTGCTGCCAGGCCCCCAAGAAGATGAGGACCCTCCAGAGGCCCCTGGCCCCAATACACAGTCACACACACACACACACACACATACATGCTAGTCAGAAAATAATCTGTTGAGTGCTGAGGGTCATACGTCCACAGAAGCGATGAAGACAAAGTTCTATGATTCATGCTGTTCTTCTTTGCTTCCGCCCCCCCATCTTCCTCCCCATCTATTACCCTGCCACATAGTACATACTAAACCCTGACACACTGTAACTCTGTGCTGTTCCTCTGACATGACCTTTGACCCTCCAGTCCCCAACCAGCGTCCTGTTCCTGTTTCTATACCAGACGGGAGGACAGGGCATGCTTTGATGGATGAAGGGGCAGCTGGAGAGAGGGATGGATGGACAGAGACATGAAAGACTCTGCTTGTTGGGAAGCCCCTGCTGGAAATTATGTAGATGAAGTCGAAACAAGAGACGGATTTGATTTGGGGAGAAGGAAGCGAGACGGGCTCGGCCGTCTTGGAGAGGAGTGAAGAAAGCTTCACAGCTTGTTTCTTTGATCTTTGAAAGGCCTGCAACTGTCATGCTGTCACGCTGTCCTCTCTCTCTTGACCCAAATCCTCGACAAGACAACACGCACACACATTATGAAACCTCAATTTTACTTTCTGTTTTCTTCCTTTTGTGTCTGTGGATGTAAAGGTCGTCTTAAACTGACGGTCCTGTCTGAGGACAGACTGCAGATGAAATGGAAGGAGGCTGACGGACCCGTTCAGGGCTACAAGGTCCGAGTGAGACCCATCTCAGGTGAGACTTTCCTCTCTGTGGTGAAGTTAGCAATACTTGGCCCAGGCCCCTTTAATTCCAATTAAGTGAAATGTTCATGCTACAGCATTGCAGTCATCTTTGTGACAACTCTTCTCTAGTTGGAAACGGCATTTAACCGTAGTGAGAAAGAGCCTTTCCGCTCACTGTCATCCCGGCTGCCTTGAATGTGTCAGCCCTCTTGCTTCTCAGGTGATGGTTTGGATAAGAGCGCAGCTCCCTCTCTCCGCACCTCCTCCTGGCAGGAAGGAAGAATCTGTGATCAACCTCTACCTCAACATTGTTTTCCCTCTGTCACCCTATCTCCCATTCCACACTGGGCAGCTAAGCCCAGGCACGTCTAAAAGAGAGGGGGGGGGGGCTTAGAAGAAGAATTCAATCCAACACGAGACTTGAGGTGTAGGGTCTGCAAGGGCGGGGGGGGGGGCAGTGAGAGGATGAAAAGGTTGTGTAGATGAGATAAAAGAGGGAAGGCAGTACAATCCTGGAAAATGCATTAAGAGTATTTCAGTGGCTGTTGGAGCAGGTTTATTGTCTCTTACAGTGTAAAATATTACTCCAATAACTCCAGTTAGACCTACAGCATGATGCGGGAACATTTTGACCTTTTTGTTCACTTATTTATTGTTTACATGCTGACTTTTGCAACTTAATCTCTTTGGGAAAGGAGAAGTGGATCTGACCCAGAGACACGAGGCCAGTAGACTGTGAAGTGGAGAGGGATGGAGATCAGTACTTTATTACTCACCATGTGGTAGTGTTTTATCAGAAAATATTCTATTACAATAAAATGATGTTTACTTTTACAATAGAAAGAATGAAGTGGAGACACCATTTGAATATGTATATAGCTGTACTGTATTTTTTACTTGCCATGTTATCTTGGTGTGATCATAATTGATTATAAGTGTATGTGAGTGACATTTTTTTCTATAACCCAATGTGCTTATATGGCCATTATGCAAGTGCTTCAATTCGGCTGCCGGAGGAGAGTACCAATGTTAACGGGTGGTATTCCTGCTGAATAAAGGGGGCTTCTGTCATTTAAAAAATACAACCAAAAACATATCTGTAGGTATATAGGAAAGGTTGAGGCAGGAGGGAAACATATCGTACACTGTGTTTGCTATGTTATGGCGGTCATATTGTTAAACATGCTTTATTACAGTTAACATGGACACCAGCTGGCCTCTCTCCACTGCTTTATCTGACTCGGATGAAATCTTAAAATTTGCTGACGATAGCACAGTGGTTGGGTTAGTCACAAAATCTGATGAATCGGCATTTAGGAGGGAGGTGTCTGATCTTGTAAGACGGTGCAGCAGTGATAGCCTTCAGCTCAATAATGAGACACTAAAGAGATGATCACAAAAGAAGGAAATTACCTCTGAAATCGCTGGCAAACCAGTAGAAAATATGAAAGCATTACAATTTCCTATGTAGTAGGGATGCACCAACATCGGGTATTGGTGAATGATATCTGGCGGATCTATTCAATCCAATTCTGTTTATAAACTATACACATTACATTTTATTTCCTCTTAAAGTTTTGACCAATTTGTTGCTCCATTAAAAAGGCTTACACTTGAATTGTAATTCCTGTTCTTTTTTTTAACCCTTTTAGATCACATCCCCGGTCATATAGTGTACCTATTTAACAATATATATATATAAAATCAATCTCTTCCTATTGTCTTTTCTTCCTGTAAAACTAAATATAAAGTATGCTTAGGTAAGCTAATACCAACCAATTATATCAACTTTGAGCAAAAAGGGAGGTGTATGTGGAGCCCCAGTCCTCCGGATTGTGCTACATTCTGAGCCCGCCCACTTTTTAGCGGATGATGATTTACATCCCTCTTGTAACTGTACAGCGCTCAAATATTCCCTTTCACTGAGGATTACCTACAGTATAGAAGCTAAAGACGCTCTTTTTTTGTGTATCTTTCAAATTCATGATATTCTGTTTTATGCATGAGATGGTTTTATTATCATGCTGTGTTGTCTTTTCTCTTCTGCATTATGAGTTATGTAGTAATGGCAATAAAGTTAAATCAGCTCAACTCTCTCCTGCTTATTTTGAATACTTTAGCGACGGAAAAAAGACTTTAGGTGATGTCAGGAAGCCTGCCTTTCCCTTCAGACTTAACCAAAATGCTCATCTGTTCCAGAGGTGCCACAGCCCGAGCTGATGCTGACCACCACGCGGGGCCGGGCGACGGTGGCAGGACTGGACTCCAGTCAGGAATACGCCCTCCAAGTCCTCGTGCTCAATGGGACGACAGAGAAACTTCTCGCAAAGCGACGATTCACCAGTAAGAAACTAGCAAGGTTGGCTGAGAGGAGAGACGATAGAGGTGACCTCCAAGAGCTTATCGTGTATCATCAACATAAAGCATCGTGGGTGAACAGCAACAGACTGTTGACATACAGAAGTTCAACAGTCCTTTATGGAGTTGCGGGTTATTTCCCAACATAAAGATTTTTCCAACATCATATTTGGAACAATAATAATAATAGTAAAGCATCTTAAGATATGCAAGAAAGACTATGCAGTTAAAAAGTAAGAGGCTGGTTTGTGCAGTGAGCAAGCAGAGATGTAGACAGACAGAGAAACATGAAGTATTGGAAAAAGAAAAAGACGACGTAGGGTGTGGAGTGATGTAGAGATATGAGGTAGGCAGTTTGTGTGTGTGTGTGTGTGTGTGTTTATGAGCGAGCTTAAACATGACTGCATATCTATAAAGGCCATTTTATGTGATATGGTGTAAGATTTTAATTTGAATCTGTAATCCTTACATTTTTTCCTCTGATAAACGGGACCGCACAAAAACAAGCTGCAGTTCTTTGTGGGATTGAACGAGGGACGTCATCCACAGGCTGGGTGGGAGTCACAACGTCGACTAGAGATGAAAACATGCTGTTAAAGTCCCTATTGTAGCAAGGGGTGCATTTTTGACATTCTTAATCTTTCTTGGAGTGTGCAGTGGTTCTCCCAATTCCCCACCCCATCAAGTACACACACGCACACGCACACACACAGCGAGTGGGTATAAATACTACTCTAGCTGGATTACAGGCTGAAAGTGGGCTTTGTTTGAAGTCGCTGTGTATACTTACTTGAGTTCAGCGCGTTCCTGGGTTCTGCCCACCAACACATCTCACAAAGGCAACCTCACCAGCAATAATAACACGGTCAGTGATGGCTTTCTGCCCACACTGTTTGTAGGACGAGCAGTTCACAGAGAGGAGAGATTACCGGTCATTTCTGAGGAGACGGGGATGTTTTGATGAAGCGTCACCTGTGTGTGGAGGATTAGGGTCTGTGTGGGAATTGGCATCAGCCCTATTGTCCCTCAGGTTGTTTCAGACATCTCCCTTTCCTACGGCGCTGGCGGTGAATCCCATCACTGCTCTGTGGCTGTCGATTCCCCCTGATTTGTGAGCCCCCCTCACGTTTGGCATTTGATTGTCTTACGTGGATGTAAGCCCGTGGTTGCCTGCGAGCGGGCTGCAAAGTGATAGTAGGTTACTGTGTCGAGTCGAGCGTGTCCAGGCAGGTCTGAAAAACATGTTAATTTGGAAATTTGCAACACCGGCTGTCTGTCTCTCTGGAATGATGGCAGCATGGGAATTCCTTCCTGATGCGTCGCATTTCCCATTTGCTTCAATGCCCTCTGGGCCCAGTACTTATTTCCTCCCTCTGCTGTTGTTGACTTTGTCTGCTAACTCCAGGCAAGGATTTAGCAACAGGATCTGGTGAAGCAGTTAAGCCAGAGGGGTAATGTAACATAACCATGTTCAATGTTACCTCGCTGATCTCAAATGTAACAGGGGGGGCAACAGAAATGACAGTAAGTACGGCAATTCTTAGTTGACTAACACTCGTACCATTTTGTCAACTAATCGATTAGTGGATTTATTCAACATATCTGCAAAGTTTGGAGAGTTTCTCCACAAAGATTCACACAAAAGCACCACTTTAAATCTTGTGTTTATTGTGCTCATAAGTTTCTTAGAAGTAAGTCATTTTGTATGGAAAAGGCATAAAAAAATCAACAAAAGAAATCTTAGTTGACAAAGACCAAAACAACCAATTCGTCAATTAATCAACTAAAAGAGGGCTGCCCCAGAATAATCGCTAACTATTTTGATAATCGATGAATCGTTAAAGTCTTTCTGCAAAAATGAGACTCCCTGCTTTTTTTTAATCAAAACTCAATATGTTTGTTTTTTGGACTGACAAAACAAGACATTTAAATAAATAAAAATAAATAAAATATCAAGACATCACCTAGAAGTCTGAGAAACTGGGAAGGACATTTTTTACTATTTTCTGAAAATTAATAGACCAAACGATTAATCTAAACAGTAATCGTCAGTTTAATGGATAATGAGAATGGATTGCTAGTTGCAGCCATCGACTGTATGTAAGAAGTGGACGAAGTCATCGTGACGTCACCCACTGGTTTGTGGGTTGGCATTTTGAAGCCTCGATTTCAGCGATTTGGATTATGGCCGTCGCCATCTTGGCTTTTTGCAACTGATGAACGGAAGTTACCGTATTTGGAATGTGGAGGAGTGACGTAGAGACACCGTATACGTCTCTGGTAGTGGCATCGACCTGTCAATCACAGTAAGCCCACCCTAAAGCATTCTCTGCTTTATGGTCTGTTTGACTCTAAATGGACCATCATTTACTAAATGAACATCATGCTGTATTGAAGAAGACTTGAAACTAGAGATTGAGACCATAAACTCATGTTTACAATGTTTACTGAGGTAATAAATCAAGAGAGAAGTAGAGTCATTTTCTCATAGACTTCTATACAACCAGACTTCTTTTTGCAACCGGAGGAGTCGCCCCCTGCTGGTCAGCAGAGAGAATGCAAGTTTTAAGATGCTTCTGCATCGGCTTCACTCGGTCTGGTTGCAGCCCTACTGGCAGGTATCTGATCAGATGCTGCTGTCTCAATGTTTCTACCCATGCGGATGATGTTACTTTTTGACGAATGCACACACACTAATTACTAACTTATTTATATTTATGAATAAATAAGCCTGTTAGCATGTTGATGTTACCATTTAGCTAGCATGGCTGAAGACTCGGTAGTAAACATTTTATTTGACCCTGGTATCTGTGAGAAAATGTGTGCACTCACTTCAGGCATCCTCGTGTGATGCTGGTGAGAACGGTGTCATTTAAAATGTCTGTGAGGTTGGTTACAGTTAGCAAATATATGAGCTATATCTATAAAATTGTTGATGTTTTGTCATAGCTTCAGTTAAAGTCATGGCCTGTGCAGTAGCCCACCTTAAACCTATAGCCCTTGTTGTAATCCTAGGCTTAGAGTTCTAACAGATGCAGAGGGATAGTTATTTTTCTGTATATTGGATAGTGATTATTAGATGGTAACGGTGTTTCATATTTGCAGTATATTGGTATATCTACAGTTGATTTGGAAACATGCATAGACATTTTGATGGAGCTTCTTTTTATTAAATTTGAGCCTCACATTTCCTGCACCACTGTGCATTCATGTTATTGACTCTTGATATTGATAACTCATATGTGATTCCCTCCTCCAGTGGAGGGTCTGCGGGAGGAGGAAACGATCCGCAGCGGTAGTCGAGAGCAGAAGAAGAAGACGTTGCCAGGCGGGTCAGGGTCAGGAGACCTGGACGATGTGACGGAGGCTCTGTTGGGCGTGCCGACAATTCTGTATCCGGACCCCACCACCACCACCGCCGCTGCTGCTGCTACTACAGGTAGTGCCTGCTAGTAATAACAACACTATTATTTCCGTGTGATGACTGGGGTCATGTCAAAAACGTATATTCAAAATGTTTTTGAAGCCTCGACCAATCATGTGGGTCTATGAGATTTGTCCACAAGGTGCCTCTGAAGATGATGCTCGGTGGCACTTCTCAGGAACTTTCCCTGTGATTGAAAATAAGCCCTGCAGTTGTTGCCATGTGTCTTTATATTTGTAAAGCACCTTGTGCTCGTTCACACGAGGCACGAAAGCACATGTGTGCGGTCCTGTGAGCGCTGCAGGTTGGGTCACTCTGCCCCGGCCGAAGCCTTGAATATTTAGTCATAGAGGATGTAAAATCATAATGATAACGTTTTGTTTTTACAATTAACACTTGAAATGGTGAAGGTGCTTGCAAATGACAAGGCAGAACAAAATGTAAACCATACTTTGGTGTAAGATTTTATTTAACTTATTTTTTTCTTTTTTCAAAATGAAACAAAACACTGACGATGAGGAAGATCTCAGGGAGATAATAAGAATCAATATGAAACCAATTTAACTCCTACCCTCTAAACTAAAAATACATTATTACTAAGCTTGTTTACAAGATATTAAGTCAATATTCACTGTTGATTGCTACTGAAGCTCCGGAGCCCAAAAATGTATCTCTCCAGTTGAAGATGTGACTGAATCAATTACAAGAAAAGTTTTCCTGTTTGACAAATAGGACGTGCTGTTCCAGAAATGAATCTCCCACTGTTTATGTCTGTTTGGTATAGAACATAAAAACCTACAACAGAGCTTGATCTCTCTGATCTGATCTTCCTCGGCCTCTGTCATTACAACGCTATTTGACCGGAAACGTTGACAAGCCACACATATAAGCAAGCTAGTACAGTAAGTACAGTATACTGCATTTACACACGCCTACACTAAAGAGCTTTGAGACAAATACACACACAATAATGACAGCCCGGCAACAGTGGGTGTAGCACAGGAAGGTGGGCCTGGGGGATTGTGAGCAGTGTTTGATGTTTTATCTATCAGGCAAAGAAAAAGATGTAACTACGTACGATGTAACACATACAGCCTCAACTGGTCCCCTAAGCAGTCTCCACTTTATCTAACCCCACCGATGTGCTCTTTCCTTCAGAGCCCCCAGCAGTAGAAACCCCCTCTCAGCCCCCCGATGAGGCCCAAGAGAAAACCACCAAAGAGAAGAGGAAGAGGAAGAAGGACAAAGAGCGGGATCGTTCGAGAGTGGAGAATAAGGAGGAGCAGGGGACCACACAGGCCAAAGCAGCCGAGGAGAAACCCCGGAAGACACCCTTCCCTACCCAACCGGTGACAGGTAACCTCTGCTCCCCAGTGTCAGGAAACATGACATAACACTGACATTTGTTATTTTAATGAACCAAAACATGATGGAAGCAAACTCCCTTTTAAGCAGGAAGGTAAGCAGGGTATCTTCAAGAACGTCTGGCTACCATCATCTTTGGCTCTTCTTATGAGTGAATGAACAAGAGGCTTGAGAGCAGTGTTTGAAATGTGATGACAGTGTTTTCACAGGGGAGGGACGTGTAAAGGAAAGGATAATGACAGGCCGTCTCGTTTCGGCTGCAGGGCACATGTTTCCTCCTCTCTCTCCCTCACAATCCAAGGGAGCAAGCACACGTTCACATGCATGGGAACTCACTCATTTTCATGGCTGCACCCTGTCGACACATGTACACATGGTATTTACGCTCACATTTTAACACCTACGCCTACCTTTTGCCTGCCTATAAGCATGAAGCCATCTGTTTCTGAAATGAAAACTATACTTTTACCTTTTAATAAACAGATGGGTGACAAATGAAAGGAAGAAACACTACAAAGTGATATAAGTACGGTACAAGGCGGTGCAGCTGTGTTTTGAATAGACGCGGTAATGTTGCAGAGACGAGCATTATAAAGGGTTACGTTGAATCTGCAACTTGTTTACGATTTGGCATATACTGTATGCCAAGGAATAATAAATACGTTACAAGAACATTAGCACCGGACAAAATTAGCTCCTCGCCCACCATGTTCCTGAAAATAATAAGAGACGACTTCCACCGCGTACACGTACCTCCAGCCTTGCCTCTTCTTCTTCTGTTGAGTTTTATGACGGTTGGCATCCATAAGTGTTGCTTTACAGCCATCTGCTGGACTGTCCCATGTCCCATCTATTCATTGCCATGGCATGAGTGAAAGGGCGCAAGACGGAAATGTTCCTGAATGTGTGAATAGTGAAAATCACCAGCGGTGCCTGAAAGGTATCCCAGTAATCTATTGGGAACTATGTGTGAGAACCGCTTCAGTGCTCTTCAGCTAAAGTCTCCTGACCTCTGATCAGTTCAAGACTATTTGCTTCATGCTTCCTTTTTTTATTAAGGTATATCTCCAAGGAAACGATTTGAGTGTGACAGCGCTGCGGCGGCGGACATCATGTTGTTGGTGGACGGCTCCTGGAGCATCGGACGTACCAACTTCAGACGGGTCAGAGACTTCTTGGAGGGCCTGATGACCCCCTTCCGCATCGGGCCGGACCACGTTCAGATCGGTGAGGGTCAGAGTGTGTATTCATGGAAGTCCATGTTTCAGAGGTGCAGATTGTTTAAGGGGTATGCTGTAAGTGATGATGTAAAGTATTTGTTGTTTATTATGACTTTTATATTGCTTAGCTACAGGTGAATTTATTGAAAAATCATTTGATTTCTGCTGATTGGTCCTCCTGTGGGGAGTTATTAGTGCTCACATGCACTCAGACACACTTTCGTTCAAAGCTTTTACAGCAATACTGTTCAGCTATTACGCCACATTTTCTAAAACAGAACATTCTCTTGTCTCACTACATTTCTGGTTGTGGTTGATTAGATTGTAATGGAGCATTGTTAACCTTTTTAAAGAAATAATATGCATTGTTTGCTGGTAAATAAATGCTCATTTTGCTACACTGAGAAGCTGATTTACTAGAATCAAGTCACAGCCTGCCAAATATTGTCTCCTAGCTTTTGGTTGTTAAACAGATCTGTTGTAGAAACAAAATAATGAAGACAAAAGCCTTTCCTAATGGCCTGTCCCACAAAAAAAAAAAAAAGAAATCCTGTTAAATGCTGTGTTTTTGTCCCAGGTCTGACCCAGTACAGCGGAGACCCCCGCACGGAGTGGCAGCTCAACAACTTCACCACAAAAGACCAGCTGTTGGAGGCAGTGAGGAATTTCAGATACAAGGGAGGAAACACATTTACAGGTAAACGCACATCACCATCGATACTGTTAGTGTGTTCGAGCCCCAACATCTGTCTTTCGATTATATGCACATGATGCGTAACGATACGCACACAGTAGAGCACATGCATCGCATGTCTGTCAGTGCGTCACCATGCATCCGTCTCCCAGGCCAGGCGCTGCTCCATGTCATGGATGAGAACATGAGGGCCGAGGCAGGCGCGAGGTCGGGCGCTCCCCTCTTCCTGGTCTTGTTGACCGACGGGAAATCTCAGGATGACGCCATTGCCGCGGCAAACCGGCTGAAGAGCGCCGGCGTGGAGATCATCGCTGTAGGTGAGACTGAAAAGAAGAGAAGGAGAGGCGGCATAGAGGCTAAACACTTCAAGCAGTTTGTCATTTATCCTCTGCATTTGTGTGCACCATGGGACTGTAATCACAGTCTGATGTGGTCTAATGACCATTAAGCAAAAAAGTTTCTGTTATGTTCATGTTGTTAGGCACTCAGAGGCATTTTGTTCAAATCACTAAATGTGTTTCCTGTTATTCAGGTGTAAAGAATGCCGATGAGGCCGAATTGAGACAAGTGGCGTCAGAGCCGGTGGATCTGAACGTCTACAATGTCAACGACTTCCCTCTGCTCAGCAAACTGGTGACACGACTGGTCCACATCCTGTGCGGGAGGATAAAGGACCGTGGCATCTCAAAACGTAACCCATCTATCTGTCTACATATGTGCCTGTCTGTCTTCTCTTCACACACAAGCTTAGGCTGTGTCTGAAATCACTCACTACTCACTATGTAGTGAATTCGCCATTTTGTAGTGCTGTCCGAATGTATTGCGAGATTTATTATACTATAGTGAAAAGTAGTCTACAACCGAAGGTCACTAACAGAGCAAAATGTACCATCATGCATTGTGCTGAGGGAAAAATGGCAGACGCACAAATGAAGAACAGCACTATTGACACAATTTCATGAGTTGTGGTGCGAAAAATTATATATTTAATGTGAGCAGAGCATCACAACACAAACAGCCACAAAGTACTTTGTATTTAATAGTTTGGGAAAATACTTACCTTTCACAATAAAAGCCCTAAACATGCATTATACCCTAATTTACTGCTTTCCAGCAGGAACTTAAATTCACTCAGAGCATTTTGCTATGAAGCAACTCAATACAATATCTTAAAATATGTATTTATCACAGGAAAGCATGTCGGTATTTATTATGGCTGGTCCTTGATCTGGAATGCTATAATTGTGCCACAGCAGTTACGGAATAAACGGCGCAGAGAAAATGACCCGAGTAGTGTCCGAAAGTGTTTTTTCATTTTGCTGATGAGCTCTCTATATAGCCTTCTACATAGAACTCCTCCTGGGACAGTGTGTAGGGAATGAGTGAATGGTTTCGGAGCCGTACATTTTTTTTTTTTTTTTTATGGCGGGCATGAAGTTTTTCAAATTATAAGCATCTTGTTGAGTTTGAGTGTGCCGTTTCCTCGATGCTTTGTCTCCAGGAATGGAGCCTGGGCCCACAGCGGACCCGACCCTCTCCTACCCCAGTCCCACCGATCTCCGCTTCTCTGAACTGGGCTCCAGAGAAGTCCAGCTTCACTGGACCAATCCCACGAAGCCAGTCCAACAGCACAGAGTTGTCTACCACAGCGCCGAGGGTCAGAGTCCACAGGAGGTCAGAACGCAACCTCCCCTTTCGTGTTATTATTGTAAAAAAGATGTGGTCCTGTGTGGGAAGGGAATAAAACACTTAAAAGTAATCCATATTTTTACAGAATATTATAATGTCAAAATACAAGTGTTATGTGCATGTTTAGCGTCTGATTACAAGTGATGCTTTGTCACCAGGTGGTACTGGCCGGCTCAGAGTCCACTGTGCTGCTGGAGGACCTCTCCTCTCAGACGATGTACCACGTGTCCATCTTCCCTGTGTATGAAGACAATGTGGGCCTGGCACTCAGAGGAACTGTCACCACATGTAATACTGACATCACTGCTAAATATTATATTTCAAGAGATTCATTTGTCTTTTCATCGCTCACACATGTCCCTGTCACTGTGACCTCATGTCTCAGTAAAGCCTGGAGAGTGTTTCTTCTAATTTGGCACAAACGTCCACCTGGACTCAAGGGTGAACTGATTAGAATTTGGAGGTCAAAGGTCACTGTCAGAATTATTAATACATGAGTTCTTGAGTAACGGCCAAAAATGTGTTTTGGGACGTCACAATATGTCCAATAGGATAAAATGATGAAGTGGAGGCACGTGGCAGTAATCAACAAATCCTATGAAAAGACCAAAATCAACCAATACTTTATCCTACAAACAAGTCATTGTCTATGTATCCAAATGTATCATCTAGAGCTCCATTGTTGTCCACAAACTATTAAAAACACATCAATGTCATTACCATGAACACACAGGCTGTAGATTACATTGACTCAGTCCCACACACACGTCCTGCTGCCTTAAATACTCACTATTCCATCAAAATATGCAGCTGAAAATAGTACCCAACAAATGCACTATTTCCTTCAAGGCCAGGAAATGTAGACCCTTCTCTCAATGACAGGGTTTATCACAACCTGTTTTAGAGATTTACATCTTCACTTGGGATCTGCTGGGGAATACATCGTTGGCTTTGGTCTTTTCATGGGATTATTTATATATATATGAGAAATATAGAAAATTGCCAGCCTCATCCTCTAAAAATGGGCTGGTTACAGTTTCACAGATGCTAATAGTAGGTTGCATGCTTTTTGGTTTTTAGACTATATCACTGTAGTGTTTTTTGGCTCTTGGTCACTCTGGTCACTATTAACTAATGTTGTGTGTTCATCATAATTTTTTGACATTTTAGCTTGAAAGGTTAATGCATGACCCAAATGTTCAGTTGCAGACCTGCTACAATTCTCTTTCATTAGTCTTTTTTTTAACAATGTGTAGGCACTCCAGATACCCAAATGTATGTGCACAACCACTGAAAAAGTCACTTTTTTTATGATATGTCTTCTCCAACACCATTTACTTCAAGAGAAATGGTTTAATTGAGTTTTTAGCATTTCCAAAAGTACACATAAGAACGCCCAAGGAGGACTCAACAAGTACAAACTCAAAATAAGGAGGAATATTTGCTGAAATAGAGTGCAATCAGTGCTGACTTGTTACCATTCTGTTGGTGACTAAACTACCAGCATATTGACTACACAAGGTGTCTAAAGACACATCAGTAAATCACAGAGATGTACTCAAAGTGCCTATCACAAGTTTACAGGCTTGTTTTTAAGACCATGCTCGTGTACCACAAACCACCTCTGACATCTCTCTGCTCTCGTCATCACTCAGTGCCCCTGGCCATGCCCGCCAACCTGGAGGTGACTCCTTCCTCATACAGCACGCTGAGGGTGAGTTGGGGCGCAGCGCCCGGTGCAACACAGTATATGATCCTGTACTCAGCACTCAACCACGGGGAGCCAGATGACGCCAAGGAGGTGAGAAGTGGATCTCTCTCTTTCTCTCTGTGCAGTGTGTGTGTGTGTGTGTGTGTGTGTGTGTGTGTGTGTGTGTGAGAGACTGTAAAGGCACATGGTTTATAAGTGTATTACACAAATAACCAAGGCAATCAGCAGACAGAAACAGGGCATGTCTTAGATGCAAACAGAGAGCCAACCTTATCTGAAATGTGCTGCTTATTCTTACTTCTTTCATAGTGTTTAATGTACGCGCGGCTCTCCCGTTCCTCGTCGTGACGTACATCTACAGTAAGAACTGCTACCAGACATTTGCTTTTTGTTTTTCTGTGTTGCTGCAGGAGAAATTCAGTGCAGACCAGGCAGCGGTGGAGCTGGCAGGGTTGCTGCCGGCGACAGACTACTCCGTCACTCTTTACGCTCTGTTTGACGAGGATCCCAGCGACCCCGTCACTGCTGTTGCCACCACCTGTAAGACATTCCCCAAAACATTCTCACCCCTTATTTGTAAGTTTCCCCTTCTCTGTCCCCCTTTACTCTTCATCTCACTCCACCTTTTTCTGAGAGTCACTTTTCTCCTATTGTTCCTTCTCTTCATTTCCTACAGATCTTCCTTCCTCACTGTTCCCTCCTCCGTCTCTATTATAGAAGCACTTCTCGCACAGTGACGTCTGAATTGGGATGATAATAATAAATCACTTCGTTACGCTGAATAATCATTTTTCTTTTACCACCTTTATCTTCTTCTTCTTCTTCCCTCCCTTTATATTTTACCATCCCCCCCCCACCCACCAGTGCATCTCCCACCGCCTGCGAGCGTTCAGTTCCCGATGGTCACCCACAGTATGCTGAGGGTGAGCTGGGTGCCCGGAGCCGTGGACGTCCCCGGCCACAGAATCACCTACAGCACCAACCTCGGCAGTGACGTCAAGCAGGTAAACACACCGGTGTCAAACTTTCTGTTTCCAAAACCATGTCCGGAGCTGAGAACGCATCTTTATTTTAAAAGAGAGACGTATACGCAAAATTCTTTTGAGCCACTCTCATGTGACGCTGAATAACAGAGATGATTACAGTTATGCTTCGGCAGTCAACTTCATCTGTTGCTAATCTGTAAGCAATGAGCAGCAAACAACAGAGGAAGTCTTGACCCGAATCCACTGACTACACTGGAACTCCAGGATTATTGTCCGTCGCCTCCAGAGGTTTATCCGCCGTCAGACCGATAGCCGATGGGTTCGGAGGGCCCTGCAGCCACAGTAAGAGTCAGTCATTCATGTTAAATCTCTTTCCAGCTGGAGGTGGCAGGACTGAACTCAGTGGTGGTGCAGAACCTCTCTTCACTCTCCAGATATCTGGTTTCAGTCCAGTCTCACTACCCACTAGGCCTGTCTGCAGCACTCACCAGTAACGTCACCACACGTAAGACACACACACACACACGTGTCTTTAGTGCTTTAAGGCCTCATCTGATGTTACAGAAGGAGATGTCTTGTGTAAAAGCACAGCAGAGAGAAGAAACATTGAATTAAATGTGAATGAAAACATATCCAATCAATCTAAAGTCTCTTTTTTACCTCTCCTGACACACTTTCCTTCTCTCCTAGTGAAGGTGCCTTCCCCATCAGACCTCAGGGTGACTAATTTCTCAGGCAGTGACATCACCGTGCGCTGGGAGGCTGCAGCCGATGACGTCGTCTCGTACCTCATCAAGTGGATCTCCCTCAGTGGAGGAGACCTGAGACAGGTGGGGATGGATAGAGGACGGGTGGAGTGTATATTGTGTTATAATGATTAACGTACAAGTCTTTTTTTTTCCGCTCTTGTTTTAGCTGAGGGCTGGAGGTGAGAGTGAAGGGGCGATCCTGGAGGAGGTGGAGGACGATAAGGAATACCAAATCTCTTTGTCTGCACTTTATGGAGATGGAGCTCAGAGTGAAGCTGTGGCCACACGCTATAGCACCTGTGAGTCGCACACACCCACGCACTGAAAATACCATCAGCAGCACTGGAGAGTCATTTCTAGCACTGAATATGAACTTAAAATATGAAGGAAAAAAATCCTCCAGTGAACCACGAAAATTAATTTTTACACTTCAAGAAGAACTGGGAGGCACGCACAGTATGATCATTGATATTCTCCACATCTGAACAGACAAGCATAGAACATCATCGAAAAGTTTAAGTCCAGTCCTGTGTTGAATATTGCAGCAATATTACTGTCACATATTAACCACTTTGAATCCTGAATCAGTATCTTGCAAATAGTCTGGGGTGTGTTCTGAGACAAAAACAAGCAAGACTTTGTATTTATTGATTCTTCTGTTAATATTGTCAGGTGGGTTGTGGACTTTCCCACGGTGGTGTTGTGTGTATTGTATTTTCTACCACAATGACAGGAAAGCAGCAGATACTTGAAGTCCCAAAAAGAATAACTGAGTAGAATTACTTATTATTTAAAATTGCGATATTGGTTATGCGTTATTTATGATGACGAGTTGAGCTAAAGTTTACATGCTGTCTAGTGGTTTTAACGATCATGCATCTTATTTCGATAGTTGGTTTTACATGTGAGATCCTAATCTTGAAATAGATAGTAACTTAAGCTGTGAAATACATGTAGTGAAGTAAAAACATTTTCCTCTGAAATGTGGTAAAGTAGAACTATAAAGTAGCATGAAATGGAAATACTCAAGTAAAGTACCTCAAAGCTATCAGATATGTACAAATGATACCTGCACATATCTTTCCATTCAGTATTTTTGTTGTAAACCCAGATGATTTAATGGTATCTTTTCGATCAATGCTTTTAAATTGTTAATAAAAGTAGTGATACTTTATTCATTACTTGGTATCAAAAGTTAAAAGGTACATTACTCGTTGTGTTACTTTACTACTTTTGCTTGTTGCCTGCAATTTTCAAACTGCCACAGACTCTTGATGGTATTGACACCTGGACTCTGACTCGTTCACCTTTCGGTTGTATAAGCACTCCTGTGTTGCGTTGGCCTTGTGCTCTTTCTCCCACGCTCCCAGTTTTTTTTTCTTCTGCAGACTGAAGCCAGTTCTTTCACAGTATTTTGCTCCATCCATCCTTCAGTTCTGACAAGATGCCCAGTCCCTGCTGAGGAGAAACATCCCCACAGCATGATGTGTGTCTGTTGAGGCAGAGGCAGTTTTAGGTTTGCACCACACGTGCTGTAGCCCTTTGTGTTTTGGGCAAAAGAAGCTCTCTCTTTTGGGTCTTATCTGACCACAAAACCATGTCCCACGTCTTAGCTGGGTCACTCTCATGCTTTCTCCAGACATGCTTGGGTGTGTTTTTGTCTTGACTCATGGCTTCTTTCCAGCCACCTTTTTAATACAGGGCAGTTTTATGCAGAGTTGGCTGGTGCACCTTCCCGCCACTCTCAGTCACTCAACTCTGTAGCTCCATCAAAGTGATTGTTGGTTGGATTGTTGGTGGCTCACGAGTCTCCTTGCTTTTTTTCATATTTCGTCCCTGCAGTGTCTGGCGGAGGCCCATCCAGCATATCGGTCAGCGAGGAGACAGCCGTCAGCTTGGTGGTCAGCTGGGTACCTCCGAACGCTCACGTGCTCCAGTATCGCGTGACCTACACTGCGCTGACTGCAGCTGAAACCCAGGACAGCACCGTGAGTGGGCTGTAACCATCACTTTCTCAACCGCTTTGTCTTTCATCCTGCCGGACAGTAAATTGTAGTGCTTCTCAGAGGGTCTCGGAGAATCCAGAAAAAACGCAAAGTAGTCCCGTCACCGTGAGGACACACGGACGTTTAACTTGAAAGCTCGACCCTGAAAGGTGGGTTTTGTTTGTCGACAGGTGTTGGTCCCGGGTGGTGAGAAGCGGGTGATGCTGGAGTCGTTACAGACAGATACTCGGTACAGCATCCTGGTCACCGCCGAGTACCGCAACAGAGAAGGAGGCAGCGGTTCTGCTCAGGGCAAAACCAGTGAGTCATACACACCGTACTAAGTTTTGCTCAGATTTATTTTTCTTATAAGTTAAAGTTTCGGACCGTTTCTTAGAGGTTTCTGGTGAAAATCCTAAAATCAAATGTAAAATGAGGTTGTCCACCTTTCTATTTATCGGCCCTCCATTTCACCTGTCTGTCTCTCTCTCTCTCTCTCTCTCTCTCTCTCTCTCTCTCTCTCTCTCT